TTTTTGGTTGGTGCAATATTCGATGAATGGTGGAAATATACGTTCGGCACTTAAGTGAACTAGATGTATCTGTTTATACTGAGATAGTGGAGAGTTGTACAAGGATCGGCGTAAATAATAAGCTTGCAGAATCCTTTTCATCTGTTTTTGCTTTTGGTTTTGGTTTTTCTGATGAAGTTTGAAGCTCTTTCAGATTACAAGATAAAAGTGAACTAAACTTCTAAAACTGCTGTACTCATGGCTTATTTCCGCAATGTCAAGATTGTGGTTATTGAATACCTTGTCTTATACTATGTATCATACGCCTAGCAAGAATATTAGTTTAAATGAAAGCTACATGAATCTTATTGCTGACTACCAACTTTTCTTATTTCTATTTGGTCCTTTGGTTTTGTTTGACGAGGGAGAGCAATTCATTTTTTTGTGGCGATTACATTTATTAATAATCTGGCTGCACATTTTTGAAATCATCTCATTTGATTTTTTGTTTGGATTTTAAAATCAACCTACGGTAGCAATCAGATTTCAAGCTGCGAGGAATAAAGTCCTGAGAACCGAATCCTGATCGCGACCAGTGGAGGTGTTCGACCCCTTGTCAAGCTGCTAACCTATCCTGATTCAAAGATTAGGGAGCATGCTGTGACAACAATATTGAACTTGTCTATTGATGAATCAAACAAGAAGCTGATCTCCAAAGAAGAACCAATCCCAACTATCATCGACACTGTAGAAAATAGAACTATTGGTGCAAAGGAGAACTCAGCAGTAGCATTGTTCAGCTTATCAATGCTGAATGACAACAAAGTGAAGATAGGGGAGTTGAATGGCATCCCACCATTGATACTACTACTAAAAAGCGGGACGATTTGCGGGAAAAAAGATGCAGTCACTTTATTGTTCATTCTCTGCCTGAACCACACTAACAAGTCAATGGCAATTGAAGCTCCACCATTGATCAACCTACTTGAGGACAAAAATTTGGACATGGTTGATGAAATATTGTCCGTCATTTTGCTTCTTGCATTGAGCCAGGGTGGGAGGCAACAACTTGGGCAGCTTTCATCCATTGAAACACTTGTGAATCTGATCAAACATTGGACATCAAAAAACAAAGAATGTTCAACTGCTGTCCTGCTGGAGCTTTGTTCCAAGAATTCAAACCTCATTTTAGCGGCACTTCAGTATAGTGTGTATAAACCTTTGGTGGACATAAGTTATTATGCATTTGATAAGTTAGAATAGTTTTAATATTATGGTTTAATTTAGTCAGAATGGTTTTAAAATTATACTCTAATTTTAATTTATGTTGTAAGATAAAGTATGGAAAAGAAATTTTTGGAACAAGACAATTGCGAATAATAAAACAAAAATTTAGGAAAGAAAAGTGAAAAAATAAAAATAAAAATGACAATTTGTGTAAGAATGATTTTCTTTATAAGTTATAAAATTTGTTTAAAAAAATTATTTTGAAGAAAAAGTAATTTTGAAAAAGACCTAGTCCAAATGACTTTTTAATATTTTTAATTACTAAAAGGGTTTTGAAAAATTCTTGTCCAAATGCATTATTTTTCAAAAAGTACTTTTTTAAGTTTTGGTTCAAACAGACTTTTCTAAACAAATTTTTAAAACACTTGTCCAAATGGAGCCTTATACTTTGATACGACATAAGGAAGAAATTAGAAATGGCCTGCCGAAGACCTGAGCAGCGAAGTCCTCATAAGTAGCAATCTTGTCTAGAGGAGGGGACACACTCATTATACTAGAAAATATCATAACCTCCTTGATTTTGTGGTGACTTTTCCGGTAAAATTACAACCTTGCCATCTTTATGTGTCTGGCTATACAATCCTACCTGGTACAATAGTTGTATGGAAGATTTTTTTTTTTAAAAAAAAAAACACGTATTTCTTTTGATATATTGTGAATTATATACAATATACAAGAATTTGGAAAAAAAAAACCTAAACAGATTTCTACATGGAACTCCAAATAAAACTCACCATAGATTTTTAAATGAAAATGGTCATTTATCAACTATATATATAAATAGTGAGTTTTGACAAGGTTTTTGTAGTATACTCTTGGAATAACTAATAAAGAGAAGAAAAAATGAATTGACATTTAATTATTTTACTTAATATTAATTATTTACATGTGATTATTATTCTAATTATGGCCAATCAAGGAGGTTCATGACCAACCTCTTCAAATTCTTAACATTAAAATCTAATGGTTTTAGTGATGAATGGCTTTAATGATTTAAGTTTAAGTGAAACTGAAAAGAAATAAAGTGTGTTTTTATCAATTTATAGGTTGATTTTTCTTTAAATACATAAGGAGCAATGCTCAAGAGACACTATGCATTGGCTCTATGGCTTTTTCTTCCAAATTGACCCACTCTCAACCTGGAGTGGTTCTTCCTTCTTCCACTATGAACGGCAAATAGTTAGTTAATTTATGCTTCACTTTTTGTTTTTTCTTCCTTCAATTTGGTTGTCTTTAGAATGAATAATTTAACCTTCTTGTGTTTATAATTCTTACTGCCCAGGTATGCAATGTCTACACTATTGGTATTTTGTGTGATTTTTATAAAAAAAGAGATACATGTTTTCGTGGATAATTTTGTATAGTAAAATTTGTAAATATGAGTTGTATGTGATTTCTAATGAAATTAAATTAGATTTTGAAACATGCGATTTCACTTACTTCTTGTAAATTTGTCATTGATAATGTGTAATTCTATGCATGCATATGATTTGGTTGTTGAATTTCCTGATCTAGTGTTTTATGAATTGGTGTCTTTTAACAAGTTATTCATAAAATTAAATGTGGATTATGATTTACAAAATGTGCAAAGTTTTTAGATGATATTCATTCATTTTATTTATACACTTATAAAATTACATGATACATCCGGTACGCGTAAAGTGCATATGATTCAACTAGTAGTGTGTAAATGTCTTACTTACTCTGTCCCAAAATTATTGTTTAATTTGAATATTCATTTTTGGTTCAATATGTACTAAAATGAAAATTCAAATTAGACAATAAATTTTGAGACCAAGTGAATGTTTTAGGGCCTGTTTGATAAAACTTAGTATATATATACTAATTTTGCAATACTTATTTTCATCCTAAAATAAGAGTTCCACATTAATAAAGTTATTTGATGGATAATAAAAAGATTAGTTTGTTTACAACTAGGTATTTGCCTCTAAACAAACACTATTTGCCTTTACGTAAAATAAAAAAACTTTTATCCTTAAAATAGAATGCCATCGTTTATCCCATCTACATTTTACTTTTTGATATTTTTCATCCTATGGTCAAAATTGAGGCGTAGAGGTTGAAATTGCCCCAAAAAATTAAGCGGGATAATTTATTCCTTTTGCTAAGTAATACTGGATAAATATTTACAGTTAAGATGGTTTTACTTCTGAAAGAAGTGAACATTAAGTCTCAATTTTGACTAAAGAATATCAAAGATGAAAATTAAATGTAGATGGTATTAGTTGTACAAAGAATTAATATATATATATATATATATATATATATATTGTAAGTGCTAAACGTAAAAAACAAAATTACTATATTTATTGTAATTTTTTTTAATATTCACTTTGGCTAACAATGAGTTGAGTGATATATTACAGGAGATGGATGTATTATAGGGTTCCAGTTGACACTAGAAGAGAATAATAAAGTTAAAAAAAAAGTCAAAAACGAATTTGATGGAAACAGTGGAAGCACTCTTCTACAGGAGGTATACCATAGCTTCTGGTACCATTACATGCAAATGAAGTGGTATTTTGCTCATCAAAAAGGAAATCCAATGGAAAGGGAATCACACAGACGAAGTAGAAGGACAATGAGTGAACAAGCCGTTTTGGATCAATTATTTCTTAGGGCTCGTTTGTCCGACTCTCATTTTGCCTTTTTATCTTATTTTTACTTTTAAACATAACACCCAATGCAAAATAAAATACTATCCAAACGACATTTTAACTTACCTTTTAAAAATTATTGCAAATAATATTTTTACACACTTTTAATCTACTACCTCCACTATTCACCTCCGTCGTCGGAATCCGGCCGGCCGGTCGCCGACCATCGGTGGTCCGGCGACGGAGATGGGTGGCGGAGGTGGTCTGGTGGTGGTGGAAAAATAATATTATTTTAATTAAAATATTATCCAAATAATTTTTTAAATTTTTTATCAAAACGCATTGTAAATCACATCTCAAACTCAAACAAAAAAACTAAACAAAAAACTAAAACAAACCAGTACCTATACAAGCCCATAATGTTGTAAATAACTTTTTGGGCAGATGTAAGAAACTTTTGTAAGAGCAACGATGGAGACGGTGATAATTTATAGTGAAATGTAATAGGGATGCATGAAAAGATAAATACACCACTCTTACTAAACATGTATACTTATTAATTACGGATATAAATGTAGTTTTATGGGAAAAATAAAATTTTTAAGGGAAAATGTAAAAAAGATAAGGGCCATAATTAATCCATCACTCACTATTTTTTCACTATACTATCATTCTCCTTTTTGTTAGGGATTTTTTGGTTTTGTAATATGGACTAATGTTGATTAAGCATGAATATATTACATTTTTTTTTAAAAAAAAAAAACAATGAGTTTCTGGTTGGAAAAACTACAATTCTCATTAACGAGAAAATGTACGTATTCTCTTGGACTCATGCGATGGTCCATAACTACAAGCGACATTTTCAAGATCCACTTAACCCAAGATCCAAGAAAAGGAAGAGGTGGCCCAGAAAGACCCAAAACACAACGAGCCAGCCTGTCTTGTCCAATCATCGTCTCCCACAACACCACAGCTTCCTGATTTCCCAGCCAAATCTACTGGTCAAACCGACGTCGTTCACCCGGTTCTTCTTGTTCTTCCCTAAAGAAGACTGGTAGTTCAAAACCTTCCATTTTCTCGTTGTAATTTTGATTGGGTTTTTAAAAGCTTCCAATTATGCCCTCGAATTCCGACTCCTCGTCCTCTTCCTCTTCTTCTACGTCGTCCGGCGAGTATCAAACCCCTAAACGTAATTCCACTTCAATTGACCAGTCCCTGGACGCAATCGAGAATCAGTTAGCCTCAATTTCAATGTTCCAGCCGGATTCACTGCTGGAATCGGAACCGGAACCGGAGCCTGTGCCGGAGTTGGAGGTTTCAAAGGAGGAATTGGTGAATGGATCAGTAAATGTGATCGAGGAGCTACCGGCGAAGAACGAGGAGGGGGAGAGTTTGAAGGCGAGCTCGTCTAGAGTGTGGACTAATGCATCGGAGGAGGTGGAGGAAATGGAGGCGCCGCCTAGTCCAAGTAGTAGTGGATATGATGGCGGTAGAGGGAGTAGCGCCACCAGTGGGATTGAGGATGCTAATGATGATGATAATGACGGCGAGATTGTGGAGGTTCGGAGTCATGGTGATTCTGTCGGAGCTTCTGATTCTCAGGCTCCTTGGACTCCCGGGAAACGCCATGGTGATGAGGTTAGTTTTTGTTTAAGAGAGCTCCCAGAATGATGTGCATTGCTTAGACGGTTGTATTCGAGCTGATTACTACGTTATAATGAATTGTTATGTGAATTTGCATTAAGTGCCGCTTAGCTTTAATATCCCCGATTTTTCTGTGTCACAGCTCATCATAGTATGCTCATAAGCTTTGGTGAAGTTTACTGTGTTTGCTGTTTGATCACTGGAAAAAAAAATCCGAATTCTACAGATAACATATGGGAGTATTAGTTATTTTGCATCAATGCCTATAAGTTCTAGAATCTCTGATTAAGCTCTGCAGAGCTTAGGAATGTTGTTAGAAATCCTTTAAACTTTATGCCTTCGTTATCTGATGGAAAGAGCTCTTTTGAATGACTGTCTTCAGTTTCTTTGTACAAATTGGCCCAGGAATCATTGGGGAAACTTTGAATCTGGAAGCGCTGAGATTTATAAGAAACCGAAACTTAGTTAACTCCAGGGTGATGGTACATGCTCATCTTGCGTGATGAAAGGTTGAAATATACAAATTCCAGCAAACAACATGATTTACTAGAACTAGGAGCTAGGAAAACGCTGGACAATCTCCCTTTAAATGTCAAAAGTAGGGTGTAATACAATTATATTTTTGTTGGTTTCATTCATTTTGATTCCTTATTGGGATCTGGGTGACAGTTGAATTGGTGAAGGCTGTGATAAGTTTTCATCTGTATTTCTTCTCGCCATAAATTATGTGTGATGAGAACTCGCTGCTATGTTGTCCATAAATTATTTGTATTTGTTTGGTACAAGTTTTTCTTTGATTATTTTGACTGCCTTACTTAGTTTTCTGTCTTACCTAAAAGCACTTGTTTGGCATTGTGTTTTGCTTTCAGTTACCTTTTTTAGCAATTTTAGGATCTTTATTTGGTGAATGAATCAAGTGCAGGATGATGCATCTATTTCATGGAGAAAAAGGAAGAAGCATTTCTTCATTTTGAGTCACTCTGGCAAACCCATATATTCAAGGTCTATTATTTTGAGCTTATGTTAAGTATTGATTCTTATTTGCAGTACACAATGATTTGGGAAAAGATTTCCTAGTCTTTGATTCCAGATACTCAAGATTTTTATTCTTTTTTTCATGTTATATTTTGTAGATACGGAGATGAGCATAAACTCGCTGGGTTCTCTGCAACTTTGCAGGCCATTATTTCCTTCGTGGAAAATGGGTGCGTTTTATAACTGCATGTTTTTTCATTTCTCTTGGGATTTTTTGTATGCTTTTTTGCTCCTTTTGTATGCTTTTTTGCTCCTGTAAGTTCCATAATAATGTCATAGAGAAGTATCATATTTTCGTTTATTGATCTCTTTCCAGGGGTGATCGCGTCAAATTGGTTAAAGCTGGAAAACATCAGGTCAGTCTACTTCTCTCTCACACGGGAGTTATTCTTCCACATGTGGGGTTTATTAAAATAATGTTCCTCTAAATTTGGAGACCATTTCTTGCATATGTTTTTTGGTTGTTGAAACATGGAGACGTTCTCTAGCGTGTTTGAATGATAGATTGTGTATCAGTTTAATTCAGTGTTTAAGCAATGAAGTTTTAGTTTGATCGTTGCATCAAATAAAATATGAGGGTGAAAATACACTAGTGTTAGAAATCATTTCTCCAGCAACTGAGGATATTTGAGAGCATAAATGTAGAGGAGATGAGAGAATTTTGAGTGAATTTTCTTATAGTAATCCCAATAAATTTATTGTCTATGCAATAGTATCTGAAACCTAAATTTAAATCATAGATTCTATATCTTTGGAGGAGTTTTTATGCTAGAACAAAAGTTCCTTTGGTTATTCTTTGGGTTATGTTTGGTTGGTTTGTCAGTGGGAGCGGATAATGTTCTCTGAGAATTATGAAAGTATTCTTTGGCCGGATTGCTTTTATATTGCTGGATAATAGAAGACCAAGTAACCTTTTCCCTCGTAAACTAGTCTGATCAACATTTTTTTTCCTCTTGAGAGAATTCATTAGGAATAATGTCCCATGTCTTGTTTCTAAAACAGCTTAGTGTTGCGTTTCAGGTTGTTTTTCTTGTCAAAGGACCAATTTATCTCGTTTGCATAAGCTGTACTGAGGAGCCATATGAATCACTCAAGTGTCAACTAGAGCTTCTTTATGGCCAGGTAGGAATTGTAATATTATTTATTTTTTCTTTCAGATGTCCTTTCCCAAATGTTTTTCCCTTGGTCTGGAAGTTTTAACTGCTTCTCAAGAATGTTGATAAAAGTCTCCTCTTATTGATTAATTTATTGTGAGTACTCGACGTGATTGCAGATGATACTTATTCTTACAAAGTCCGTTAATAGATGTTTTGAGAAGAATCCGAAATTTGATATGACACCTTTGCTCGGAGGAACAGATGTCGTCTTCTCGTCTCTCATCCATTCTTTCAGTTGGTATGTCACTTTGTTTCCACCTTGCCACTCTAGTCTAAAGCTTAGTTTTGGATTTCTTGGGCAATTCACCTTTTGATGTGAGGATGATTAGGTTACACTTTGCACTCCTATGGATGGTGTGGGCAAGAAATGTTTGCCGTTTATTAATCTCTTTCATGATTCTATCTTAGAGTGGAAATGTTGAACTTTATTTTTAAAAACTGTGTGATCTGCAATTTTTTTATGGAGTTCTATGCTCCAAAAATTCGAGGGAGAAAGCTTCTGAATTAGATTACCTTCTCTTCTTCTGTCTTACCAAATCTCTAGCTTAAAAACTGTCAATTGTTTCATTTCTGAATAGGGATGGTTTGATCCCCTGTTTTTATTTCCTTTTTGTTGAGACTTTCTTTTACAACTTCTAGGAATCCGGCTACCTTTCTTCATGCATATACATGCCTTCCCCTTGCTTATCCCACAAGGCAAGCTGCTGGTGCGATCTTGCAGGATGTTGCAGATTCAGGTGTCTTGTTTGCAATTTTAATGTGTAGACACAAGGTCCTTATGACTTTCTCCATTAGTGCTTTGAATAAAAGCTATAATTGCTTATCATTTGCTTTTGTGCATTTTTTTAACTAGAAGAAAATGCAGGTTATTTCCCTTGTTGGTGCACAAAAAGCAGCCCTTCATCCTGATGATATGCTTCTTCTCTCTAACTTTGTTGTTTCATCAGAATCTTTTAGGTATGTCCCGCCAATTACTGCTTTGCTACTCATACATTCAAGAGTCCTGGGTGAAAAAATATTTAGTTTCTGCAAGGGTTCTATACCTCTCTTGGCAAACACAAACAAAACCTAACCTCTTAAGCATTCCAAACTAAGTATCCAGATTTCTCATGCATTAAAGAGTGAGCCTTCTGCAGCATGAAACTGTGTAAAGCCTTTGGATTTCTTTTGTACTATTATCTATTAGTTTGTGGGCCAAAACTTGATTTACCTTACCACCATTATTAATGATTTGCCATGCCAACAGATGTACCATGCATGCTTTTTGGAAGACCTTGAAAGTTACTTCCATTCACATATAAAGTAGGACTAGTATCTTTGCATTTAAAGTTTTATATATGTTTTAGATGTAGACAAATTTAATTGAAATTTGTGGTTTGAACTTATCATATGCATGCTGACCAGATATCAGTTTTTAAAAACGAAAGATGTTTTGGGTGAGTGATGCTCATGTTAGCTCAAGCAGACATATTTGGAATTTGTGGAAAGAATATTAAGCAATTTATTATGTCTTTTTTCCTCTCTACATGCACCAAAAACATGTTCCACCTGAAACCCTGTCATCTAAGTTAATAGTTTCATCCCCACTCTTGAAGAAGCTCAGAAGAGTCTTTTTGGTGGGATTTGTGTTTCTGGAACTCGTTTTGTTGTTGCCCATCTAATAATTGGATATGATATTTTAGGATCTGATCTAGAACGTTGATTATTATACTGTCTTCTACTTAATACATTAGGAAATTGACAATGGTTATGATATTGTTTACTTTTAGCATAATTGAAGTTGTCTCGATCCTTCCTGTGTAGGACATCTGAATCTTTCTCACCAATTTGCCTTCCAAGATACAATCCAATGGCCTTTCTGTATGCCTACGTCCATTATTTTGATGTAAGTCTGGCTACATCCAATCATTCCAGTACACAAAAGTGCTTTTCTTTTCTATCATATTCCATTTATCTCTTATCATAACTTTCTTAACTCTGGATAAGCATCTCTTTTCTCTCTATGTGTTCTCGAGAAATGACAAAAGATATGTCCGTTTGCAGCTTGACACATATTTGATATTGCTCACTACAAGTTCGGATGCCTTTTACCATCTTAAAGATTGCAGGTGCCCTCTCCTGCTTTTCATTTGTTGATTTTATTTCTACATGTAGGCTGTTGCTGTAGTCTCATGATTATCTACTTTAAACTACCAATGTGTATTTCTTGTATATTAAACAGGATCCGTATTGAGAATGTTCTTTTGAAGTCAAATGTTCTTGCTGAAGTTCAGAAGTCATTGTTGGATGGGGGAATGCATGTTGAGGATTTGTCAATTGAGTCCGGTTCTCGCTCTGGGAGTGTATCCCCTCATAGTAGTCAGTCTGGACTTGCAACAGAATCCGCAGAGCGATTAAGAGACACTTTCAGTGGTGTTGGTGGTCCCGCTGGACTCTGGCATTTTATATACCGCAGCATTTATCTGGATCAATATGTGACATCTGAATTTTCATCACCTATTAACAGCTTGCGACAACAGAAGAGGTAAAAAGCACAATGTTAAATTACTGCATTTAGGACAAATCTTCTTGGTTTGGAACAGACATAGTATGTTGTTTTGTATTTGTTTTGAGTTTGGAAATTGAAAAAGATTTAAGAATGTGTATTAGGTGTGTGAAAATATAAATTTTCAAACGAAAAGCTTGCATCGGGATCTCGATTTAAATAGAATACAATGGGATTCAAGTCTACATTCCTTAACATTTTCATGTAGTAGTAGTACTCACTGAAGTTCAGTTTTTCCTCACAGATTATATAGAGCTTATCAGAAGGTTTATACATCGATGCATGAGAAAGGAATTGGACCACACAAAACTCAATTCAGAAGGGACGAAAACTACGGTATGAAGCTATTTCTGCCTCACCTTCTCTTCAGCGGTTAGGATACTTTGTTCTTACTAATTTTTTGCGTAACTTTTCTCTGGTAAGTCTCGGCTTCTGGGTTATTACCAGACCAGCCGGAAAACTCCTGAACTGGCTTAAACCTGGGAGCATTAGTGTAGTTTTGTTATGTAGAACTCCTGTCTTGTGAATTCTAGTTACACTATTTTACAGTTCCCAATTAGTAATACTTGTCTTTAACATGGCAGTTTTGCTTTGCTGGGTTACCCAAGATTTCGAACTCTATGCGGCATTTGATCCCCTTGCAGATAAGGTTAGATCTTGCAGTGTTTCATACATTCATTGAATGGTTGCCATGTCTTGATCTGCAAGGATAATATGTCTTGGAGTATAATATGTCTAGTAAAACTGCTAAACTGCAGGCTCTAGCCATAAAAGTATGCAACCGGGTTTGTCAGTGGGTGAAAGACGTCGAGAATGAGATTTTCTTGTTGGGAGCAAGCCCATTTTCATGGTGATTCACTATTAGTAATAGGTATAATTTTGTACCCTATTTCTCCCTTTCTAGTGAGTTCTGCCCGAGTTTTTGTGGGCTCTGTATTTTTTTGTAGGCGGTTATTATCGTTGTGACTCGGCATTCTTGTACACCCATTATTTGTAGGCATTTTTATTTTTTTTTGGAGATTGATTCGATAACTGTGTATTATGTGCCTAAATGCTTTTTTAGGTTCTTTTTATAATTATCATAATAATCAGTAATTTACTTGTATCGTTTCGCATTGCTCGTGGATTTGTTCATTACACACATTGATGATGCATATGAAATCAGAATGAAGCCGTCAAGCTGTGCTTTCGGCTTGGTAAGAAAGACAGTTTTCTGGGTATTTGCTGCAGTAATTGAAAAAGGAAACTGCCGTTTGGTTTGTGGTGAAAGAAGGGGAAAAGAGCTGGGAACACACCAACAGATAGTGAAGTGGGGGGGGAATTACTTTTGAAGGGGTCAACTTCACCAATTTCGGAGACTAGAATGAGTTTGTTCCCCACTAAACAAATATTTATTGAACGATAGTGAACCCATATTGGTCTTTCAATGTTCAAACTACGCTTTAATGACTTGAAAAAAAAAAAACTTCGATACAAACGCGGTTGAAACTTGGAAGGATTTTATTTTTCTTTTGTGCTTAAAAAAAAAAAAAAGTCATTTTCTCCATTGTTGAATAAAAACCTTTTTAGTCAAAAGTATAACGATATTAATGGTTTCGCAAATTATTACCTTTCACTTAAGCTACTACTAGTACTAGTACTACTACATTTGTACGTGTGCCCTTCCATTCCCTCCACTTGTTCAATTCCGGCAAACGATTTTGGCTCAAGATTTCTGCAATCTATTTTGACTTGAAAGTCGAATGAATGAGAAGACGTTTTTTTGAATTTTAACCAAATTCTCCATCCTGCTTGGTTGAATACTTGAATTGATTTGAAGGGAGTCCAATAATGGGGAGTAATAAGCTCGCTCTTTAACAGCATGTGCGTAGGATGTATGGGCACCTATCGCTTCATTTATGACCGGCCTAACTACTAGCACAGTAACAGTAATAATTCTGTCAATAATGCAGTTATTATACTCCTCCCCCCCTACTGCCCCCCTGCCGGAACCGGTGATGTGCATCTCTTCACTGTTACTACTACTATTCACTATGCCTCTTATAGTATTACTTTTTTATATTTCAAGAAAAAAATCAACCTTTAATTCCATCAATGTTAGGGTTCGATTCATGATCACCAACCAATAATACGTCTCACACATTGTCATATTATGCAATCTCATTCACTAAATAATCCTTCTCAGCGACGGTTTAACCATTCAGTCGACGTGATCGTATTCATTCTCATTGACATAAGTATATATACATTGTGTGTCCTTTTGGTCAAGTTTTCCTACTAGGAGTTTACTTAATGTTAGTTTGTGCACTAATGGGGCATTTACTAGTAGAAGACCAAGTATAAGAGGATGAGTAACAATAAGTTGAGAGATTGAGAAAATCTAGGGAAAAGAGAAAAAGGAAAGAAAAAAAAGGGAATCCACATTTCACATCCCAAATTCCCCAATCCCATGCAAGCAGCACCAAAATACACAATACACACACACACACACACAAAATACAACACAACGTTCAGTTTTTTGAGTTGACTCACCAGAGAAAAGAGTTATTCATAGGGGCAATAGTATAGTACTCTACCCACCATCTCCCCCCATACGCATTAATTTCCCCCCCACATTAAAACCACTGACCACACAGCCCACCACACCCCCCCTTTCTTCCTCCTTTCTCTTCTCCCAAAAATCATATACCCAAAAAGAAAGAATATTGAATTAAAAAATTAACCCAAATCAAACTGCATATCCCCCTCTTTCTCTCTTTTTCTCACACACACTCTTCTTCACAGGAGAGACACAGAGATGAATTCATTGTTTAGTATTCCCATTTTACTCCATTGTCCTGGGTTTCTCCTTCTTATAAACCTCTGTTGACAAAGAAAAGAAAAATCCCTTCTTTTTTTTTCTTTTTTTTTTTGTTGATCCCACATCATCTGGTTGATTTTTGAAAGACTACTAAACTATGTATAAGAACCAGCTGCAGGAGCTGGCGCAGAGAAGCTGCTTTAATCTGCCGTCCTACACCTGTATTCGGGAAGGTCCTGACCACGCGCCCCGGTTCAAGGCCGTCGTTAACTTCAACGGCGAAACCTTTGACAGCCCCCATTACTACACCACCCTCCGTCAAGCCGAGCACGCCGCCGCCGAGGTCGCCCTCAACTCCCTCTCCACCCGTGGCCCTTCCCATTCCCTCGCTGCCAGAATCCTCGTAAGTCCCACCATTTCCGGCTAATTTCCGCCTGAAATTTGTCCCCATTCTGATTTTCCCCCTTTTTTTGGTTTTATTAATATACGTTTAATCGACCCTGAAGATGAAGAAGATGGGGTTAGAACTGGGATTGTAATTTATGCATTTCATTGTGAATGACCAAAATGCCCCTTTCCTGTTGATGATGTTTCGTGTTTTTACTGTTATCTTGCTGAATTGGAGTTGATGTAAATGGCAGCATAGTAAAGGGGTAAATTGATAATTTTTAATATTCAAAAGGGTATGGAAGATTGTTAACCTTTCTGAGGTGTTGTTTTGACCCAGCTTGTTGTGTTTTCATTAGCTGGTGAACAGCTGTGTTCAAAAGGCACTAATTTCAGTAACATGACAATTAATTAAATCAATTATGAGTTTGGCCAATTACATTAAATTTGGTCAATTTCTTTAGCCCCATTTTTTCTTTGTTTTTTTTAAGGTGTGAATGAATGAATGTAGAATTTGGTAGCACCATTCTAAGTAGTGGTGGACTGTGTTTTATCATTGTAATGGATAATTGGATTAGTGTTGTTACCACAAGTGTATGGGGGAAAAAATGGTTTGATTGATTAAGATTGACCATGTTTTATTTGAAGTCTGACAAGATTTTAATTTGCTGACTTTCTTGGTTTTCTTATTATTATTTTGAACAAAAATAAAAATACAATCAAGGGATCTTGATGAGTATGAATACATTGAATTTTTGAGGGACATTGTTACCTAACTGTACTAAATAGTGTATTGAATTTCAGAAGTGCCACATTTCAGCATGTCCACATGATGAAGCATATTTATTTTTATTTTTTTTCTTTTCTTTTTTTAGCACTGTATATTCTTTTTCTTTTTTTCTTTTTGATGGCTGAAAAGGCACATTTTGACTTGTGGTTTTGCGTTTACTTCTTCTTTAGTTTATTTATGCAAATTGTCTACCAAAATAGTTTTTAATGTATGTTTTTTGTCCCCATTCATTTGTTCTTCAATCCAAGGATTAAGAATTTCCTTACAAATAAAAAGTGAAGAGTTTCAAAGATTCTTTTTTCGCCCCTCTAAAAAATGGGCATACCAGAATACCAGATTATCAGGTCAAGCATTTAATTATGTAAAATTGAACATGAAGGGAACTTATACATTGGCTCATTTAAGCTTTTCTTATTCTAAACCAAAATGATAATATGCTTATAAAAATAAGAGGTCATGTATACCGATTCAGGAAAGATAGAAAAATAGAATATCTAGTTTTAAATCTAACCTAGAAAATGGCAGAAACTAATACTAATTTAAATTTTTCATAGTGTCAAGTGTAATACTAAGCAAACTCTTGCTGCACAATAAAAATGTTTGAACTTCTGAATGTATGGTATTCTTCTCATGAAGAGAAACTCATATCTCTACACTTGTCATCTTGTTGCTATTCAACACGGATTCACGATGAAGTTCTTGGTTCAATTTCAAGCTTAGTTTAACAACACTTGTTTGCCATAGAAGATCAACACTTTCACTTTTGGATGGATGAAATAAGGAATCTGACTAAAAAACCCAGCTTCATGATTTGCAGAGATCATTCGTCCTTGTGGTTGAAGCTGGAGATGCTTTTAGTTATGTTGTTGCTTTCCAATTGATTCAGTTCGAAGTCGCAATATATATGTTTTTGACATACTAATGCTTGATGTTAATGGGCATTCTCAATTCTCAGTTAATTGGTGCTGTGTAGATTTGTTTGAAGGAACAATTCTGTCATTTGTTGGTGGTTTTCATGTTATTAAATGCAATTTCCATCGAGCAAACTTTTGTTCTTGAGGGTACAAGTGTCTGTTGCTTAGCTGTTCCATTTTTCCCCCTTTTTTGGGTTTATTCTGTCCATTTTTTTCTGATCAACTGATTACACTTCAGGATGAGACTGGTGTATACAAAAACCTCCTGCAAGAGATTTCACAAAGAGTTGGATCGCCTCTACCCCAGTACACAACTTTCAGATCTGGACTTGGACACCTACCAGTTTTTACAGGAACAGTAGAACTAGCTGGAATTACTTTCACTGGTGAACCTGCCAAGAACAAAAAGCAAGCTGAGAAGAATGCTGCTCTGTCTGCTTGGTTTTCATTAAAGCAATGTGAGTCCTACGTCCTTCATAACTCTTGTCATTTTAGTCTCTCCTTATGTTGCACCGAATGAACACTTGAGGTGAAAAATATTTGCTGCAGTGGCACAACAAGATGCCAGTTCATCATCGGAGCAAGAGAGCAGTGACGAGCAGGAGCAAATAAGAATCGCAAGGGCCCTGCTTAATTACAAACTGAAGGAGAAAATCAATGTGGCTAACTCCAGCAATGCCTCAGCTCCATTCCAAAAGAAATACTTCATGCCTCCCCCTCGACCATCAAGTCCACAGCGTCCGGCAGCTACATCCAAAATTCTTCCCTTTTTCAGCCCTAAAAGTGTTTATCAAAATACACAACCTACAGCCAAAAATGAAACTCATGCTGGGCCTGCACCCCCATTGCCAAAGAATCCTTCCTCATCAGAAGCACGATCTATTCACTCTCAACGCTTTCCTGTTAGAGAGGCTGCTCCTTATGTCCCTTTCAGACAATATAGGTCACCTTATGCTGGGATTGCTCCTCCAGTCACTATGAGAACATCAATTCCAGTTTACTCGGCACCACCACTTTCAACACCAACCGCAGCAGGTCAGCCTCGAACAATGCAGTCACGCCCTGTGCGAATGGCCCCACCAGTTTCCATCAGACAAGCTGTTCCAGTCTTTGCTGCTCCACCAGCTGCAAAAGGAGAGTTACCGAATAGTATAGCATGTAGTTTGTTAGAAAAATCCCCACCAAAGCATGAGACTTCAGGATCTGAGCCTAGCATTGACATTCAAGAGGCTACAGCTTTAAGGTGCTTGGAGCACCTTGAAATTTGATGGTAACTGGAAAGACATGATTGTAGAAGTAACTTCATTTGTGGTTTATTTAGGCTTTGCATCGTAGTGGCTATCAGCGTTCAGTTTTAGCTCCTCTGTCATGCGTTGATTTACCAATGGCCTCTTCTTTCAACTTGTCACTTCCACCTGTCATTTTGGGCGTATCGTTCCAAGATTATACTCTCTCCGCCCCATAATTATTGTCTAGTTTGGATTTTCATTTTTAGTATAATTTGAACTAGAAATGAAAATTCAAACTAGACAATAATTATGGGACGGAGGGAGTATCTGTTTTTCCGGGTAGAATGGCTACAAGCTGAAAATTGCCTGTTCGATCATTCTTAAATTTGCTGTATAAAGTTGAATTTCCATCGGCAGAGGGCTATCATTTTTGTCACTTTTAGGCTTTTTGCTGGTGTTTATGTTTAGTTGTCGAGGATTTCAAATCTCCAAAGCAATATGTTTAGGTTAAAAACTGGATTGTAATGACAATAATACAGCTCTCTTCTCTTTTATGTGTTACTAACAGGTTGGGTACTTGGTAGTAAGAATCTCTCATTAGTGTCGAGTAATGCTAAAACATTCTCTCTTGGCTTTTAGATCTGAGTTTATACGAATTAAGGACTGGAAACACTTCGAACTTCAGTGTTTTCTCCTCCAACGAGTGAAACTGTTTGTCCTAGCTAGGTAGTTTAGTGCTAGCAAATCTATCTATTACTATTACTATTATAAAAGTGAGAGGGGGGCATTCTACAGTAGTTTCGTCGTTGTCCCCCCTCAAGCTCTTCTTTCTTTTCTTTATTTGACACCCTCCCTTTTTTCCACTTACAAAAACCAAAGCTATATGTTAATTTAAAAGGTTGGCTGCCTGATTAAACTCCTACAAGAACTACAACTTTAACTGACCTCTGGAGATGATTTTCAGGGCTGACTAAATTAATAACAATGGTAATAATAACCGTGATAAGAACATTCAGTTAGTGTTTCTTTATTACATTTTTATAGGAAATGTTTCTTCATTTAATTACTATGTTCATCTATTTTTATTATGAATTGTTTATTTAGCTATTAAAAGGAAAAAGATTAAACATATCAATACTTGATCATGGTTATATATGCTATTTAATTCATCAAATTCTGATATAAAAATTATTTATATCCGTTAGACTTCACTTATAAATATGAGATACAAACCTCTATAAACTCCCGAATAAATATTCCAAGCACCTACTGTAAGTAATACTCTTTTTTTTCTCTTAAAATAATTTTTTAATTTAAATTTTCGCTTTTAATATGATGAACAATCATTTCGGTCCGTAAGAAGTAATTAATTTTAAATTTATTTATTTTAACTTACCATTTTACACATATACCTTCAATTCTATTGTCACAAGTATTTTCTAACTATGTTGATTGATACTTCAAATTCAATCATTTTATGAAAAGTGCCATTGTGTCTTATTAATTTTTTAAAAAATTAAATTATCAAAATAGACAAAGATATAATATGTGCATTGTCGAGAGGGTGAGAAAAGCCCACACGTAGTGTGGGCAGAAAATCACTAGTTACTAGTAAAGTGTTATGGAGCATAGACAAATTGTGCGCACTTTAAAGAGGCAAAAACAAAACCCAATAGACAGTAGTGGGTCAATGAGACGCCCACTATGTTAAAACCCAAACCTAATTTTGCAGTTCAGTCCATCTTCCGTGCGACTTACTCATGACTCAAAATAGATCACTTTGACTACTAGGTTTGAGAACTTACTAGCCCATTTGGGGTTGGTGTTTTTCAATTTGTGTTTTGTCTTGTGGAAATCCGTATTTTGTACTCCCTATGTCCCAAAATTATTGTCTAATTTGGGTTTTCACTTTTAGTTCATTTTGTACTATAAATGAAAATCTAAACTGGACAATAATTTTGGAACGGAGGAAATATATCTTTTTCTCAATATAACTTTGATAGAGATTGAATCATTCAGTCGATAATTCAACTCGTATAAATTTAAGAATTAGATATGACACCCCTCAACCAAGCACCTCCGTAAGAATTTTACTATTATTCTTCCCTATACACATTTTACGGAATAATAGCAAAGACACTATTTCTATACGAGTTGAATGATAGCGAAGAATGAATCAAAACGTTGTTTCTATCAATCAATTCTTTGAATGACAGCAGCAACAAAATTAACACCATTTTCGATTTCAAGGATCAAAAAGTGCGAAGAATGAACCAAGTATATACCAACTATCCAATGAAATTATTATAAGATGAGACTGTTGTTCAGAATGTATGATGTATGTACTGATATCGGATAGATGGATTACCATTTGAATTTCCCTATAGTAAATAAGAAAGAATTACATTGTCTTTCCAAACCCTTTAAATTACTTTTCTGAAACTCCTTTTCAACTCATAACTCACAGAAAAATTAGATCAAAAGGGGGTTCCATTCCAATGTACAATATAAATCAGTCCAAACTGATTTGACAACTCTAAAGCATTCAAAAGTGAGGCCAATTTACTAGCAGTTAAAACTCCCAAGGAGTTGTCCAATCTTCTTGTTCTCAAATGACCAAACCTATCGAACCTCATTTCTTCACCCTTGTACAAAAGGACTAACCGATTTTCATCAAATCACATTTTTTTCCCTCTGCATTTTTTTTCTCACATGTTTGTTTTCTTGTGAGATTCTTCAGTATTAACCTGAAAGCACCTAACTGGTAACTACTTAATGTCTCATCTATTGAAGTGAAAGTAGGAAGAACAATAAACCCTAACATTAAAACAGCAATAACAACAAAATAGGATTCTTAAAAGAAAATTCAAACCCCATTTTTTTATGTACATTTTTTTGCCACATTCGTGTGTAACACCCTCTTCAGAATTCAGTGGATAAGTCTAAATCATGCATCCATATATAGCAGGAAAATAAAAGCTGGGGACCAATTAAATCATATTTTTAACACTTTGGTACGTAGAATTTTGCAGTTCAACTTTGTCATTTGCCAAGGAAAAATTTTGTTTTATGATGAAGAAGTTTGTATGCATATGCTGCCAAAAATATGAGGTGCAGGAATGTTGGTTTTTATCATGATTTGAGACCAGCAAAATGTTAAGCTAGTACTCTATGATTCGTGCTTTTCATTTTGCCATTTCCAGATGCTGGAATTGGTTCTGTGCTGTTCATATCAATTGCTTGATTTGGTGTATGTAGTAGTCCCCGTGTGGGTGGTTGTATTTTTCAGTGAGTCCAAATTTTATCACTTTGAAATTTATGGCATGCGTGACATACAACATTCTCTTAATGAGACGTGACATGACTCTGTGCAGGTTTTTTTTTTCTCCGTCCCAAAATAAGAATTTTTATGTAATCTGTTGTAACTGAAGAGATTAATTCAAGAGATAAAGATGTGTGTATATTTTTTTTAATGGAGGAAGTATAGTATAGGATGGAAAAGAAGCACGCAGTTGAAGGTTAAAAAGAGGTATGACTATTCAGGGAGGAAAAAAAATCCAATTGAAATCTATAGTTAACTGAAGTCGTCATTCGATTTAGTCAGATAGCGAGAAAAGGCTCATATGTTTACCTTGCTATGAGCCGTTTTCTATCTTTATTTCATAAAAATAATCAATTTTGTTGAACAAAATTAATCTGTATAATTTATGAAGTCGAAAATATTAGATTATCATCCATCGTGTGACAGCTAAAACCAAAACATTGTGATCCACGAACTTGAATAAATGTCATATAAAAGTGTGGCTAAAAATTGCAAAAATGTTTATTGTATGCAGGTCGGTGCATGTGTCTCAATTTTGACTATTGGTTTCAATCAAATGTATGCAATTATGCATACATCAATTTACAAAGTCAACGATTCATATTTATACTTTTTCAGTATGAAGGGATGAATTGCTTCAGAAGAAAGCATGAATGTGTGTGATCTGCGTGGTAAATGTTTTGTTTTTTTTTTTTTTTCCACTTCAGAATAATATAGAGAAAGTAATGAAGGAAATGAGGGTTTTATTTGCCCGTTGTGAATCATGGCCGGTACATGCAAATATTGATAACTTTATGAGAAAAATCATGATGGGTTGGCCGGCTTGTGAGTAGTTATGTCAAAAAGAGTCAATGAGAAGCCCCCGAAGATCTCACATGGGATCTCGTTCCACATAACTTTATATTTGAAAGTAAATATCGATATTGAGATAGACGATAAATTTATAGTATGTCGAACAGTTGATGTAATATTATGTATTTACGAATGCTGAAAATTCAGTTATGTATATATGATGAGCAAAAATCATCATTTTTATTTCACTAAATGAATCTAATATTTCTTACATTACCTTTTTTTTTTCCTTTTGAAATGAGCGTGACACATCGAGGCTCAAGTTCACTACCTGAATTTGAGCAAATCCCCAAAATTTGAAAATCAAACAAGGGGACAAATCATCTCATCATCCATATATCTATTCATTTGTGGGTGAAATTCTTATTAGGGTGAAAAAAACAGTGCATGCAATATGGGAGGTATTGGTAGTTGTTGATAAAAAAAAAAAAAAAGAAGAAAAGGGGAAGTGTGTACTAAAAAACCCTAAAAATAAGTGTGCTAAACAAGCAAAGGAGGGCAAAGGAGGGCTACCCAAGAAGAAAAACATAAAAAGAAAGCGATTTTCATGTTGTCATTTCCATGTGTAAGATTGGGCCTCAAGGTGGTGGGCCCAAGTCTCCACTTCAACGACACCAACCCAAACGAAAGCAAACTCCATGTCAGCATCCTATTAATTTACGCAACACACAGTAAATGTGTTTCTCTGTGTGTGTTTTTATATTTATTCGGCTTTTTATTGGTTTTTACTTTTTATCAAGGTCGGCCCAGACATGTTGGGCCCTATGTGAAGAATGTGGGGACTGAAAATGGACCAAGGAAGGGGGAAGGAGAGTGAGTGGTTGGGGGGCCCAAAGGGGGTGAAAGAACCACTGGCATTTTATTCCTTCCCTATGAGAAAAGCAATGGCTCAAGGCAAAAGCAAAGATTGAAACCCTCCACCATTTTCCAATTTTTTTGCTTCTTTTTAATTTTTTTTTATTTTATGTAACAAAGTGTCCAACATTAATAACAATAACAAATTCTTTTATATGGATGTAAGTATCGACGATAATACATTTGACTGACAGTTTTAGGGTTTGTCTATACCCAAATAGGGTTTGGATTTTCGATCCTAAATAAAGATGTACGAATATCTATTTATCGAAGGAAAAAAAAGGATTATTTTCTGCCACTTAACCACATCATCTTTAGTACTTTTAAATATGGTTTTTTATTTTTCCTTAAGAAAATAAAAGTAGAGCAACATCAAGAAAAAGTAAAGGAAACAAAGGGGAGAGAGGGAGACAAAGTGGGAGAATGTTAATCCCATCAATACCTAAAGAAAGATGTAAAAGAAAGCAATAACCATTATCTCACAATTGTATGATCTATTTTATCTTTTCTCTTTCTCTCTCTCCATTTTGACTTTGATATTGCTCATCATAAACCATTGATTGTACTAAGTAGATGGCATTGTATTGTCTCCCCTATATAGGTCAATTCATGCTTGTCATTTCTCTCCATAACTACACTGTTATTATGTAAGTATACCATGAAAGAATTATT